AGGTGATTATACACTAATGACACTAATATACCAATGAATATTATATTTCATTTCTGACAAATATATCTTACTAAATGTTACACACTGGACCTTAAAAATACAAAAATGGGAAATTATTGGTTTTCTTGGCCATGAGAAGTAGGTAATTATTATCGTATAAGCTGAAAAAAATCCATATGTTTTCAAGTTGCACCTTTCTTTGATGCACCTGACTTTTTTTCTATATACATTTGTAATGTATAAATATCACTTTTGCCAATTCGCTAAAAACATGTGAATTCATCATGTCACGACACTTTACCATTATTTTATGCCAACATTTTTTTTTTTTTATAGAATTGTGTTTTTATTTTAACTGTATATAAAAGGGTAGGTTAAAATTAATTAATTAAGTACACAATAATTACTAAAAATAATATGATTTATTTTTATTATGATTTTAATCATGTTGTTTATGTTGGGGCCAGTTTATTTGTCACAACCCAATTTCTCATTTTCTCAATTTCTGAATTCATTTTATTTGGTATTTTTGTTGTTTGTCATACACAGATACACAAGAATGAATGCTAGATAATGTGTGTTTATGTTGTCCAATGTCAAGTTTCTATTTGAACATGTCATGAGACAAAACGATATATGTCAGTAACCCGACTGTAAAATTCACATTGTTTGTAAAATATATATATATACACCTAATAACTATTTTTTTTATGACTAGTTACATCATGCACTAGAACCCATCATAACCGCATGCAAGTACTTTACCCCACTGAAACCACTGCTGCACTGTTGTGCAAGAACGCAGCCTCAAACGGAGGCGAGTGTGTTCAGAATGTGACCCAAACTGCCTCTACCACTCAGCACTCAGAACATTTAGTTCCCAGTTTACTGACATCAGAAAGTCTGCCAACCTCTTCAATTTGGGGTTATTTCTTTTTGTGAAGTTCATTTTTATATTTCCTAAATATCAGGACCATAAAGTCAAGACCAGTTAAAAAGAAATTGCCCTAAAAACAATTTGAAAACTTGAATATTGCTCAGGAATTGTTCGTAATTCTGATGGCCTTTGTAGTTATTTTGTCTCTTAATTTATATTAATTACAGTAAAAAAAGTCATTACAGTGTTGTTGTATCAGATCACCAAAACAGCCTCACACCCAAATTGTTGCTTCCTGCTACATACATTTTCTTTTATCACATCCAGGTTCGATTACTGCACCAGCAAATTTAGTATTAAGTATAAAATCTTCCTCACTGGCTTTGACTAACTTAGCTTCTCCCTACCTCTCTGATCTTCTCCACTAGTCTGCTCCCCCACCTTAGTTTTCACGATGACAGCCTCGTACACATCCAGTGCCAAACCTGGGCCTTCCCAGCAGCCGCTTCCTCTCTCTGGAACTCATCCTACACTGAAGACCCCCTAGCTCAAGCTCTTTATTGTCACATGCACAACTACATGATGACATTTCTATATCTACTGCTCCCTCTGACAGACTGGTCCAAATATTATTTATTTGTTCTCAGATTTATTATTAATGATTTTCTTTTTTAAATGTGTTGTCTTCTCGTTTATCTTTAAACCAGCTTTGACTACAATTTTACAATTGTTATTATCATTATTTAATTTAAATTTAAATGTTTGAGTGAAAGATAAATATTAAAGTATTAAATATGATTTTCTATATTTTTTTAAATTGGCTTCTTTATAATTTTAATTTACACCACATCATTTTTTCCACATTTCAGGACAAATAAATAAATGTATAAATATGTCAAATTACTACACACTTTGGGTTACTGTACTGGCTGCAGGTGTAAATAAGCTAATTTTGTGAGTCCCTACTAAAAGTCTGATACCATATGGAACACACAGTGATGGATGTGTAACAGAGTAGCGCCATCTACTGGGACTCATCACAGCTCATGATTGATCTGTGGGTTGTGTAATGATCAAGAAACATGAGGCCAGTGTACAGCAGCAGCAGCCGCCTGAAGGATGTAAACATTGCTGCTGCAAACATGATCATGTTTCCATTCTTCTTTAATCAGAGTCTGTTGCTTGTAAACTCATTAACACAAACCTTATTTACACAGAAGAGGGTCAGTAAACAAAATGTAAAGAATTGTGAATGATAAGAACATTCATTCTCTTCTCTGACAGAGCAGAATGAATCCTCAATAGTGTAGCACTAGTTCACAACATGTAAGAAAACAATTATTATTAATATTTATATTTTCCACTATAATGCTCCTACAATAATGCTTATGTTGTCTAATCTGACAGGAAATTAATGCTTACAACAAAAAAGTGCAATTATATGTATAAAATTGCAGACTGGGGGCCGTATGTTAGTTTATTAATGGCAACATTAAATTAAAATCATTCAACCCTATGAGGCTGTTTGTATCATTTGATATATTCGTTTCTGGGACCACTACAAAATCAATAACATTAGTAATTACTTGACAAACCTATTTTTATACATTCTGGCACAAAAATAGTGTATTGCGATATTTTGTTTTGTGATATGGTTTTGATTCTGTATCTTTATCTGATTTTTATATATAAAACACTGGTTGCATAAAATAAGTAACAATTTTTAAGTCATGCATTCGATGGTGTGTTCTTTATACTATGACAGTTTCCCTAAAGATTTAAAAAACAGAATCGCAGTATATTGCCTTGCTTATATCGCAATATATTGAATCGTAACCCCTTCATTGTGATACATATCATATTGCCAGATTCTTCTTCTAAGCTGCCCTCGAGTGAGTTAGCAACACCAATCAGGAAGTGGACATCCATTGTATACCAAATTCAAGATGGCTGCCTCACAAAGGCTAAATGGTTTTATGTGTAATACTAGTACAGTTTGCTTATAATCCTGAGTAGAGTGGAACAGTGATATATAATAATAATAATAATACAGTATATAGTAATATACTGGACTGAAGTAAGCAATAATAAAATAAAAATAAATAAATGGAAAAAATACATTATATCAATATTCATGTTATATGTGTCATTTGTGAACATTAAAGATACTTAAACCCTAACCCAAATATTAGGTAGGCCTAGTTCTAACATTATAGCCGAATGGCCTAACACCACCCAGTGACATAACTCTGACCACTGGACTGGAACCTATGGACACTCCCAAATTGATTGGACAACAACTAAACCCAAGTTATTACATTTTACAGTAATCAGGTTGATGTTAAAAATGTTGATAGGGTGAGAAAAACAAATCAATTTTAAAAATTTCCAAACTTTTCTGAAAAAAATCTCTCTTAACACGCTATTGAACGTTGCGTTTGTCATGGGATGTAAACACACTAGAATACAGAGCAGGATGGTCCTGATCCACGGCCTCTCCAACTAACAGATGTCAACATCACTGAACCTTCCACCTGCTTAATCTTCAGAGAGCTGGAGGAGAGAGCCCCGGTATCAGCTGTACACTTCAGCATCACAGCAGGACGAGGAGGACCGACGCTTCCCAAACTGGCACAAACTGACACTACGCATTTACGGACGCCACACATCCACACACTCTCTGTTTCTCTTATTCCACCCTATAAGTAGCACGCAGTTATTCTGTTCCACTCCACTTCCCATGTCTAGCAGCAGCAGATAATGGCATGTACACAACATGTCAATGCATGTACACACGCGCGCGCGCGCGCACACACACACACACACTCACTCACCTGCTGTAAATACATGAAGGTGAGGGCGGCGCAGGACAGCTGAGGACAGGCATCCACGTTGGGTAACGCCACGCATGTTCCTCCAGGATGCTGCATGTTCCCTCCTCTATCTGACAGCACAAACCCCTCAACCCCGACAATATACAACCCTGTTCTGAACGGCAGAGGTAGCGAGAGCAGCAGATGAGCAGAGAGAGAGAGAGAGAGGTAGATAAATGTTAGATCAGTGTTATTAAAATAACCTCCTGTTGGTGTTGTCCTGTTCACTGACAGTTCGTCTCTTTACCTTCCAGCGTTCTCTTCAGACTCTTTTCTCTCTTGGAGATTTCCGACAGGAACAGTTTGGAGTTGAGGTTCCCGACTTTATACGGAGGCAGACTGCTGCCCACACACGCCTGAGACCTGCAACCGACACACATCCCAGATAAACACAGACCCACGGGAGGGCGGGAACAGAAAGAGAAAGTGTAAACCGGACTGTGTGTCACCTGTCTGTGAGGATTTTAACGGGCTTGGTGTTCTTCATGAAGCTCAGCTCCTCGGCTTTACTGAAGGCCGTGTGGATGGAGCTCAGCAGCTTCTGGGCCTCGTGCCGCTGCTCCCCCAGAGCCAAAACCTGGGCCGCGTTCTCCTGGCAGAACCGAGCCTGAGCCCGGTCCAGAGCCTCCAGCGTCCGACCGAGATCCTCCTCCAGGAGCTGGTGCATCCGCTGGTACTGCAGACGCACCTCCTCCTTCAGCTCGCAGACTCTGTCCTGTGGAGCAGACAGACGTCAGAGCGCTTCGGACAAACGTCCTTTCTGTGGGAATGTCGTTAGGACGGCGGACACGTACCTCCACCACACACTTGTCGGAGTCGAGTTTGCAGAGCTGCTCCTCGATCTCCTGCACTCGCTCCTCCACGCGCTCCTGCTGCCTCAGTAGGCTTTGCTGCGAGGGAAGACGAGGAGACGGGAAGGAAAGAAATAAATAAAGAAAGAAATAAATAAATCAAGTTTTAAGCTTTGGGGAGTTGTGACCTCCACCGTTAGCACCTCCTCATGAGGAGATTTTAGGATCTGGGAGTCTGTCTCCATCCAACACACAACCCCTGTCTCTTCCTCCAGAGCACCTCCTCCTCCTCCTCTCTTCCTCTCTCCTCCTCCTCTCTCCTCCTCCTCTCTCTTCCTCTCTCCTCCTCACTCTTCCTCTCCTCTCTCTCCTCCTCCTCCTCTCTTCCTCTCTCCTCCTTCAGTGCACCTCCTCCTCTCTTCTCCTCTCTTCTCCTCCTCCTCTCTCCTCCTCCTCTCTCCTCCTCTCTCTCCTCCTCCTCTCTCCTCCTTCAGTGCACCCTCCTCCTCTCTTCTCCTCTCTTCTCCTTCTCTCTCCTCCTCCTCTCTTCTCCTCCTCCTCTCTTCCTCCTTCAGGTGCACTCCTCCTCTCTTCTCCTTCTCTTCCTCTCTCCTCCTCTCCTCCTCCTCTTCCTCTCTCCTTCCTCTCTTCCTCTCTTCCTCTCTTCCTCTCTCCTCGCTTTTCCTTCCTCCTCTCTCCTCCTCTGTACCTTACAGCAGGAGCTGACAGTGTTGTTATTTGTTATACGATGACTTTTCAGACTCCGTCAGAATTAAATACATAAATAAATACACACAACAACAAACCACAATCACGGGTTCGATCGTTTCTCTGTTGACTTCTTCATCTTGTAACCTACCCTTCTAATGTGAAAATAAATAATCCTCAATCAAGCATTTAGCATGAACGGAGACGCTTGTTGATGAGATTTAAATATATTCTATCCATATTTATGACTCCAGATTCACGTGAGATCTGGCCAAACATTATCATTCATTAATGACTCAAATCGATTATTAATCATCCAATTAATCAGATTCAGTCCTGTCTTACGTTGGAGTCC